CCCCTCCCCCCCCCCCCCCCTCTTTTTTAACTGTAAAAGATATCTTACAGAATTCCAAAATGTTTGCATACAATTTGAAAATTATACACTAGATAGATTATGAGTAATATTAACCACAATACTTAGGTCTATTTTATGCTAAATGGAAAATACTACAGGAACATGAATCTCTGAACTTTTGAATCTGGGACATGCTGTGTTGGAGATGGAATGAGTTTTGTGACCTTTATCTGATCCAGACCAACGTACCACACTGCATATAGTAGTTTGGCTGCCATGTTATGTAGTGGTCATAGATTAAAACAATGTGACAGTCAAAAGTGAGATTGTCTTTGTGACCTGTTTCCCTGCTTCTCACTTGTCTTGAACCGCTCTTGAACTCGCAAGCGCTTTTATCTCTACGCTGACTTAATGCTCAACCAATAACTAACTCGTCAGCTCACTCTATAACTGAAATCCAAAGCTGCTATTTCCTCTGTAATCCACCGGAGGATCAACACGAAAGGCATCCATATGAGTTTTAAAAACTCAGCTCTTTGACATTTATGGTTGATTTGGATGTCTCGCTTACAAACATCTCAAACTAGGTTTAAGGCTTTCAATTGAATACGTAATTGCTAGTCAAAGCTCTCACAACACACACCCAGGCTAGTGTTTTTGCTTTTATCTCTCTTTCTGTGTGTTCTCAATCTCTCTAGACATGATAAGCCCTCGATATGTAATTGAGCAAAGATTTTAAAATCGAGATCCTACCTATGGTAGACTAAAGGATCGGGATGACTTGATCGAATCCAGGATGGTAAGATTGTGAAGTAATACTCTGTGTAGGATTTGTGTTGCTTACACCCAGTCATATTTTATAGATATTGAAGATGATCATAATTCGGTCATTTTAAATAATAAAAATACTAGGAAAGAAGAACTCTAACCATAACATTATAGAATTCTTAAAATAGAAATAAAACAAACCTAGTTTACACATATTTGAAATATAGAAATGTTGTTACAAATATATTGAACTGAGAGATATGATCAAAACTTGAAAAACTACAATCTAGGTTTTGAAGAGAGTAGCGAATCAGTGGTGGGCTTTCATGTAGTAGCCAAGATGTCCAATAGACTAGTTTAAGTGTGGTGAGGTGAGGTGCTACAGGCGCCATGTGCGCCATCCCACATCGGTTGGAGTGGAAAAGTTCCTAGGCTATTTATGTGGTTTCCTTTTCCTTTTCCCTGCCTTTTGCCTCAGAAAAACAAAACCGTGAGGGTGTATGACACTTGAGGTGGATAATATCTTGATAGGTGAGGCAGGATGTTACAAAGTGGTATCAGTGCAGGATTCCTACACGATGGTGGGCTGGGTCCCACACGGGAACGTGTGGCTCTAAGTGGGTGGACTATAGTAGCCAAGATGGCCTAAACCAGCTTTAAGTGCGGTAAGGTGGGTGCCATGTGCGCCATCCCACATCGGTTGGAGAGAAAAAGTTCTTGGCTATTTATGTGGTTTCTCGGCCTTAACTGTCAAGAGGCATTTTCTAGAAAAGGCCAAATCCCCAGAGGAACAAAATCGTGAGGGTGTATAGGCACCCAAAGCGGACAATATCTGTCAAAGGTGGGATGTTACATTTCAATCCAGTGAGTTTGTGAAAAAGAATAAGAGAATTGGATTGTTATGATATTTACCAAGATTAAAGAATAAACCAAATTGTTATTTTCAACTTTTCGACAAGATACGCGAATGAATGAAGAGAGTTTCTATAAAGAAGAGAACTCTCTGTAGCTTTTCTCGCTTGCTGAAATTCCAGAATAGACCAATAAGATTACAGCCCATTCACATATGGGTGGAGTCTTTAATCCATTAACGTCAGTTTGTTATAGTTTTTCTTGGGTAGGCATACTTTATTTTGTTACAGCTGGTTTGTGAAAGAGTGCTATAAATTATTCCTGTGCATGTTTTATTTAAAAAATTGGAACAGACAAGTGTTTTGTTAGTAATTCTCAAAATATGCAATACAATAATTTGTAACCTCTCTGCCTCACCAAGATGTAGAAAAGGAAAAAGTAGCCCAAAAAACCCTATCTTATAACCTACATCCGGAAACCTGAGCTTTTGAAAACCTTTGTTGTGACCCTTTCACCTTAATGTTTTTGTACTGCAGCCTGCAGAAAAATATCCAAATGTATTTTCTGAAGAATCTATTTTTGGGAGGTTAGCAATATTTTTGGTACTTTTTAATGGCATTCAAAAAATGTTGCTTCATCCTTAATTAGTCCAAGGTTTCTAACTTTTGTGATAAATTGTAGGTTTCCATACTTCCTACCTTGCCTGTTGATATCACTCTTTGCATTGGTTGTCGCTGGTATTTGTTGCTGGCTTCCGGTATGTGCTGATTCATCTAATGCTTTTCTTTCTATCCTTTTTGATTTTTTTTCATTGTTTTTTCTTTGTTCCTCATGATCATTTCCGCAAACAAGAAAATATTTACGAATGTTTAGTGTTCGTAATGGACTGGTGTTCTGGTAAGTCAGATTCAATGTAGTCAAGGTTGAAAATACAACATAAATAGGGAAGCTGTCTAACATGGTAAAAATGACAAAGTTTGGATTTATCTAAACCATAGAATAAAAGTTAATATACCTGAAGGCATCCTACTGTGGAAAAGTTCAGAAAATAGATATAAAGCATATCAGAATAAAAGTAGCATTTTCATGGATAATACTAGTGCTTCTTTTGGTTTATCAATTGTTTAAGTTTATTTTAGTGGAATAAGGATTCACACTATTGCATTTTGCAGCTGCACTTCCTGATTCATTGGGCTTAGCTTGTACCGGTGCAAAGTTCTGTACTATGAATTTGGTTTCCTTGATATAGTATTTCTTTTGGCTGGGATCAGGCGTCATTAATTACATCCCCAAATTTGACTAATTGTGTGTTCCTGTTTGTAAAGTTAGATCTCTGATTAATTGTGTTGTCTATCAAATTCTGGGTTATTTCAGGAAACACTGCACATCCATCATGGAAACAAAGAGGAACAAAATGACACATGTGATGTACTAGAGGGAACATATGAATCTGATGCACTGGACAATGGGGGAAATTCTGAAGGAGCTTCAATTACTCGTCAAAGCCTTCTGAAAAATTGGCCCTTAATGTCATCTATAATTGTATATTGCATCTTCCAACTTCATGATATGGCCTATACAGAGGTAATTTTTGTCTCTTAAGGATTTATTTATGCATTTGGTAGAGTACAATTTGACATGTCCTCTCTCCCTCAGGAATTTTTCCGAAGTTGTCCAATATGTTCATATGATTGTTAACCATGTCTAATTGGGTTGTTCATTGGGTATTTAAGTGGCACATTATGCTTAAATGAGAGCCAGGCATTTTATTTGAGAGAGAAGTATTTTATTCATATAGTCTATGTAATAATTGTCCTATAGTAGATTTTCCATGTCGATGTAATTTTATCACTCTAGGTTTGACAAGTTATCAGTTATCATCATTCCTGTGTTTTCAAATTCCAGCTTCACTTTTTACTGTATTTTTCTGTTTTTTCCTCTTCCTTGTTGTACAAACAGTAGGAACCCTTTTGCACCATTTTTGTATTTTCCTCTGTTATTGATAAAAAGGTATGTTCGTTATAAAAAAAATCCAGCTTCTTGCTCACGGTTTGATTTGGATATTTTTTTTCAAATTCCTTGTATTATTGAGCCATCAAGTTCCTATATCTGATGTATTTATGTTATGGAGGACATTTCCATCATGATGGTCAGATAACTATTTCATGCCTACCCTTACCTTTCTTGTTCTTGTTCTTCCCTCAATCATTTGTCAAACAGTTGGATTTGCATGCATGTTTGCAGCTTCTTGATATCTATTATCAAGGTTGCTCTTGAATACTCTGTGCGTATAGTTTACTCAACTCAACTAAGCCTTGACACGACGATTTGGCGTAGTCTATATGAATCATGTTCCATCCATTGTACTCTATTACAGTCTTTCTGTCAAACCACAAAATATCTATTTTTTTCATATCTCATTCAAAGTTAATTTCGGCTACTTCTACCCCTTGCATCATACCTCTACTCCATATTGCATTATCTATTTTCTTGTCAAATAGCCATCATGGTTTGGTGACATAGACTCCAAGGCTGATGATTTTCTGCTTACCGAGCATTGAATGCGCATATGTCCTATATCTACATCTCTCTACGTATATATATCTTTCATCAACAACAATTATTATGTCAAAAATGTTAATAGAATCCATGATTTTACTCTGTTAAAACCCAGGACAAGTTGACTAATAAATCTCAGATAGTATGTCAGGTATTATTTTTGTAGAATGGAGAGCAAAAGGATATAGATGTCTCCTCTTGAATTTCTTTTAGTGAAAAGGCAAGCTTTCTAAATTTCTAGAACAAAAGGCAGTTCATTAATGCTCTCTGCCAGACCGCCAGAAACTTTGCTGCTAGGCTTTCTTGTCTATACACAAAGACGAGGGATTTCTGCAAAAAAAAAAAAAGAGGGAGTTAATATTTGACAGAAGCACAAGAGCCCTCCCAAAATAACAGGCCTTCAAGAGAGCACAATTGAGTAGCTTGGAGTGAAGTTCTATGTGTTAGAGTATTCAATCCAAAGTCAAGTGGCAATGAGTGGAGAGGCCCCTTAAACATATAAATCAACCTTGTGTGCTCCTAATCATTCATACAAGCTCTCACGTGAGACCCGAGCTCGCACATGGGACTAACAAACAAACAGACAAACATGCATAGCGAATCACTCAAATGGGTAAGAGACATAATCCACTGACCACCCAAGACCCAGCTCTGATACCATGTTAGAGCATCTCAACATCCAACCCAAAACCAATTGACATTGAGTGGGGAGATCCTTCAATCATATAAATCAACCTTGGGTGGTCTTAATCATTCGATTCTGGATACCAGCTCACTTTACACCCTTCTTCACGTGGGACTTAGATTCGCACTTGTGCGTGAGGCTAATAAACAAACATGCATACCGAGAGATTCAAATTGGTAAGATATTTGGCACACTTATCACCTGAGGTCCAACTCTGATACCATGTTGGAGCATCGAATCCAAACCAATTGACAATGGGCAAAGAGGCTTCTCAAACATATAAACCAACCTTATGTAGTCATAATCATACGATGTGGGATACAAGCTCTCTTTACACCCTCCCTCATATGGGACTTGGACTCGCACATGGGGCTAACAAACAAACAGATAAACATGCATATCGAAGAATGCAAATGGGTAAGGGGCTTAACCCACTAACCCCCCATGACCTAACTCCAATAACATAGTAGAGTTGAAAACATAGATCAACTATTGCAAAGAAAAGAAGCCACATGTAGAGAGGATAGAAGAAGAGAAAAATTATATACAATATACTAATGTTCTATCATAATGGAAAGTGGGTACACGGGGCAGTATCTAAGGAGCCCTATAATAAGAAAATGAGTAGATTACTCTTAATGACAAATAAAAATAAATTAAAATCTTAACACCCCCTCTTAAACTCATGATAAGATGGGAGAAAGCATCGAGAGTTTTCCAAAAAGAAAACTAAAATGCAACTAGGTGTGGGACTTCATGAAGAAGTCACCTAATTGCATAGTGAAAGAAATAAAAGGCAAAGAAATGGTTCCAAGTTGAAAATGGTGATGCACAAAATGACCGTCAATCATGATATTCTTGCCCTGCTCATGAAAAAAAAGTTGTGTGCAATCTAAATGGTATTTTTGTTGTCACAATACATAGTAGTAGGACAAGAAAAAAACGCCTAAATCGGCAAGCAACCATCTCAATCAAACTATTTTCGACCTAGAAATAGCCATAGCACCATATTCAGCCTTAGAAATTGAACAAGCGATAATGGTCTGTTTTTTGCTTTTCTAGGAAATCACAAAAAGACCTAGAAACTAATGGTGGAATTACGATTCATGGCATCACCACTCAATCAACTTAAAAAAAAGTACAAAATTCCAAAGGAGAAGTGGAAGTAAATAACAAATTTTGATGTAAAGTGCCTTTAAGATAGCGTTAAATGCGAAGAATTGTAACCTAGTGCACTGTAGTTGAAGAAGAGATAAATTGACATACAATATTAACAACATATGTTATATCAGATCGTGTAATTGTGAGATAGATTAAGCTACCAACAAGAACCCGATACAAAGTAGGATCAACCAAAAGGAACTTATTAGTAAAAGTGTACTGCACATTAAGCTCGAGAGGAGTCTCAACCGTCTGAGAATCTATTAACTAGGCCTTGTGGATTAAATCAACCGTATACTTTGACCCAAAAAAAAAAAGAAGATAATAATTGGGACATGACGCCACTTTAATGCCAAAAAATATTGATCGAGTCAAAATACTGTCTCAAACTACTATTGTAATGCCCTCATAATCATTCCAATAAGAATCATATTATTATATAAAAGGAGAACAATTTCGCCAGCGGTAGTAGAACAAAGGAAAAGAATAAAATCATGATCACTTTAACGAAAATTGAAGTCAAGGGGGATTGGGACTTGGTAATTTGGTGTCTAAAAACATTTCTTTTGTAGATAAATGGTTATGGAGGTTCTGTTTAGAATTTAATTCCCTTTGGCATAAGGTAATTAGGAGTAAATCTGGCCTTAAGAGGAACGGGTGAGATACTAAATCAGTACATATTGTAACCTATTGGAGTCCTTGGAAATTCTTTTCACAAGTTTACCCTTTATTTATTTCTTTGACTCGGTATAAAGTTGGAGATGGTTCTAAAGTTCTATTTTAGGAAGATATATGGGTTGGAGATTCATCTTTTATTACTATTTTTCCACGTCTCTATCATTTGTCCTCGCTACATGAGACTCCTATATCTTCTTTTATTATTGTAGGGACAGATTATCACTCTTGGGACTTCTATTTCTTCAGACACCATAATGATTGGGAAGCAGTTGATTTGACTTTTTCGTTTCATCTTCTCCATGATTTCCACCCCCGTCTTTCTTATAATTTGGACTGTTGAAAATTCTGGTGTTTTTTCTTGTAGATCATTTTATTCATATCTTGTTAGCCCTCAGAACGAAGAGTCATTCTCCTTAGCTAACTTCATTTGGAAAGCTAATGTCCCCTCGAAAATAAGGGCTTTTGTTTAGTCTGTTGTCCTAAATCAGGTTAATACTAATGATTTGTTGTAGGTGCGGAGACCTTATAAAGCTTTGAGCCCTGATATTTGTTTTACTTGTTTCAAAAGTAGGGAGTCTAATACTCATCTTTTCATTGTGCGTTCATTTGCATGGCGTTTTTGGAATACTTTATTCCAGGTGGCTGGTGAGGCTTGGGTTTGTCCTCCTACTATAGAAAAGATGTTGCAAATCAAGTTTTGGGGTTTGGGGAATAAGAAGGAAGTGAAGGTATTATGGAATTGTGCAATCATGACAATTCTTTGGTGCATTTGGATGGAAAGAANATACTTTGACCCAAAAAAAAAAAGAAGATAATAATTGGGACATGACGCCACTTTAATGCCAAAAAATATTGATCGAGTCAAAATACAGTCTCAAACTACTATTGTAATGCCCTCATAATCATTCCAATAAGAATCATATTATTATATAAAAGGAGAACAATTTCGCCAGCGGTAGTAGAACAAAGGAAAAGAATAAAATCATGATCACTTTAACGAAAATTGAAGTCAAGGGGGATTGGGACTTGGTAATTTGGTGTCTAAAAACATTTCTTTTGTAGGTAAATGGTTATGGAGGTTCTGTTTAGAATTTAATTCCCTTTGGCATAAGGTAATTAGGAGTAAATCTGGCCTTAAGAGGAACGGGTGAGATACTAAATCAGTACATATTGTAACCTATTGGAGTCCTTGGAAATTCTTTTCACAAGTTTACCCTTTATTTATTTCTTTGACTCGGTATAAAGTTGGAGATGGTTCTAAAGTTCTATTTTAGGAAGATATATGGGTTGGAGATTCATCTTTTATTACTATTTTTCCACGTCTCTATCATTTGTCCTCGCTACATGAGACTCCTATATCTTCTTTTATTATTGTAGGGACAGATTATCACTCTTGGGACTTCTATTTCTTCAGACACCATAATGATTGGGAAGCAGTTGATTTGACTTTTTCGTTTCATCTTCTCCATGATTTCCACCCCCGTCTTTCTTATAATTTGGACTGTTGAAAATTCTGGTGTTTTTTCTTGTAGATCATTTTATTCATATCTTGTTAGCCCTCAGAACGAAGAGTCATTCTCCTTAGCTAACTTCATTTGGAAAGCTAATGTCCCCTCGAAAATAAGGGCTTTTGTTTAGTCTGTTGTCCTAAATCAGGTTAATACTAATGATTTGTTGTAGGTGCGGAGACCTTATAAAGCTTTGAGCCTTGATATTTGTTTTACTTGTTTCAAAAGTAGGGAGTCTAATACTCATCTTTTCATTGTGTGTTCATTTGCATGGCGTTTTTGGAATACTTTATTCCAGGTGGCTGGTGAGGCTTGGGTTTGTCCTCCTACTATAGAAAAGATGTTGCAAATCAAGTTTTGGGGTTTGGGGAATAAGAAGTAAGTGAAGGTATTATGGAATTGTGCAATCATGACAATTCTTTGGTGCATTTGGATGGAAAGAAATGACAGAATTTTCAATAATTGTCATCTTTCTACGGAATTAGTATGGGAAAGAATTGTTTACATGGCTTTACTTTGGTCCAAAGCTTCTAGGAGTTTTGAAGGCCCGCCTTTGTCCGATTTCCAATGGAATTGGAAGGCGGCGTTATCTTGGCTTTCATTGAGAATGTTTTATTGATATGTTTTTTTTGCGTTTTCTTTTTATTTTAGAGGATGTCTTGTCCTCCATATCCATATTTTAATTTGCTTTCTCTTTCTTCCATTCTATAATAAAATTCTTCTTTTATCGAAAAAACGAAAATTCAAGTAAAAGATAATAGTAAAGACCTTTTCAAACCAAGCTTGAGGAGCCTCATTAAGCCAATACAAAACTTTTTTGAGTTTACATACGTCACCTAGATTGATAGAGAGACCAGGAGGAGGAACCATATGAACCTATTCTACGAAATCACCATTCATAAAAGTATTCTTGTGCAATAGTCATTTGTGCAACAGTAGCAAACGTTTCCTCATAATCAATGTCATACTT